GGACCGCCTCCGCCGCCTCTCCACGTGTGCTGCTGCTGCTGCCGCAGAACTGAGCGTTGCTGCTGCCGCCGCTGTGCTCCTTCTTGAAAATAATAGTGGTTTAGCCACAGCTTCAAGTGTATCTTAATTATTTTTGTCTAAGAACTTCCACAGAATTTCTTTTTTTCTAGCAACAGTTTATATTTCCCTAGGAAACTTCTAGTATAATGTTTTGGTGTGATTTATTTGTATCATGTAAATCAGTTTGGTCATGTTTAAGTGTGTGTGAGTATGTACATATGCATATAGGTATAATAATGCTAAAGATTTTAGGGGTCAAAATCCACCCTTTTCTAACTCTCCAGGGGAACCATCTGGAATCACCGAGTCAGGTTTCTTGAAGACAGAGTCCTGAGCTCCTGGACATCATTCACCATTTGGAATGCTGGCAAGCAAGGCAAAAAGCTCTACAGAAGCTTGTCACCAGCTAATCAGAAAAAGGTGAGCTAGGAAGAGTGGGTAACATCTGTACAAAACCACTTTCTTCTCTTTCATATGCCTCCTTACTTCTTCTAACATACTACTGCAAAATTCTCGTAAGATATTTTGTTCCCAAAGTACAAGTTGATGATTAATAAAATTGGGGAAATATTCTGCATAATGTATTTATTCTTTTAAAATGCTGTATTTCATTATCCAGAGTGTACAGTGTGTATGTAGTGCAACATATGCACCCATGTTCCTGCTTGCTGATGACGAAGTACAGTACTAGGTCAGATACACTATACAATTGTTTATGGCCTGCTACTGTGTATAACCATAGAATAGCCAGCTGCTCAAGGTGGGTAGAATAACTCTCTGTTTGGATGGTATAATACTAAACTACCTTGTCCAGGATTAGTCTGGGCAATATACCTGTATATTTGCCCAGTTCCTAAGTGGATACTGGACAGGTCCCTATCCAATACTGATCAACCTAGTTTGTATTATGAGGAGTAGTTGTACTGTAACTGTCTTTTGAAAAGCTTGATTGTTTAAAAATAGGGGTGAGGTGCAGAGTGAAGTAGGCGAATAGAAACTATTGTTCATTACTATCTACATTTATGATCAGTTGAAAATGTGGAGGTTACTTATATTTGGCAATGGCAGATATTTTTCAGGAGAGATTTGTCTGAGAGTTTAAATGCCTGACTTTTATAAAATTTTCTTTTGTGTAATAACTTTTTGTTAGATAAAGGCTTTAGGGCTAATGTCAAATGCCTGTTTCTTATAAAGAACCACAGAACATTCATTTTATTACCAAATGTGTTTTCTTTTCTCAAAAATATGGATGGGAAGACCAAATGACAAATATATATATAAACTTGATTAATATAGCAGCCCTCAGACCACACACATATAAAAAAAAATAGAAGAAATTTGTATACTCATAGTTGAAATTACTGAATAGACATGGGAGACACTCATCCAGCAAACACACAAGACAAGAATTGAACCTGAATTTCCTGGTTGATAGTCTGACGCCATTCCTCTTTCATTGCCATCATGTGGCAGTGGGTGAACTAGATGAAGAAAGAAGATTAAACACAATCTTCTGACAGAACTGTCCATTATATGCATTGAGTTGTCTTGATCATACAGTGCAGTGTGCACATGACTTTGGGGGGTTTATGAAAATGTTTTCTTTCACTGGTATTTTGCAGAGCACTTTGTGAATTCCACTAACTTACTACCAACCATTGCACTTTTCTGTCTGCAAAATTATGAGAATTAGAAGATAAATTCCAAGGAAGAGATGGCAGCTTCTCTGGTAGATTTTTGAGATGTTACGGAAAAAATAGACTATATTGGTTTTGTAGCAGTGTTTGTAGCAGTGTCTCACCATCTTAGGTGCTGGGTTTTTTGGTTTTGTTTTGTTTTCTAGCTTTTTTTGTGCCAAGCTGAAATGGAGATTAATACTAAGATAGAACACCTCTCTAGCTCTGGGTTACATCTGCCACCTACTTCTATAGGTGACTCATTCAGGACCTCACATCCTGTTCAGCAAACACAATGTTAATTTGAAGGTGTCACTGCAGAGATGATAAAAAGGGCAAGAGAAAAAGAATATTGGGGGGTTTTTTTGCCATTTTTCTGCCAAAGAACCAAAGCTTACCTCTCCTTCAGTAAGGAACAACCTTCATTCCCCAGTATGCTAGCACTGACAGTGTGCTTCTAATTAACTGCATCTTGACGTTCTTTCCAGCTGACCTTTCCATAACGTTTGCTTTGGCAGTGTTGCAGGCCGTGATACTATTTTGCTTCTGTCAAGGTTACAATTGCACATATTCCAATATTCTTTAGTTTGCTATTGAAATATTGCATTGAGCATTAACCCGTTAATTACTGGATAGTACAGCAGGCACATTTAGCAGCTTACATGCCAGATGCAATTGCACATGCCGAGTATGACTCATTGACTCATTTTGCAAATGTACTGCAGAAAACTGCTGCTAAAATGCAGTCACAGTCTGATCTCTGATACCTTATGTAGAATAATCACACTTTATCCACTGAGTCGGACATGTTATCTGAAGTATTCAGAGGTTTTTCTCAATAACCAACAAAGATAAATACCTGCAGGAAGTGACTTGTATCATCCTAAATGAGAGTAGAGGCCTAGCTTTTAGCTAGCTGATTTCTGATTAAATTAGTGTTATCTGTAGCAATTAAAGCACTAGTGTGTTGTAACTAAAGCAGTAGTGTGTTGAGGCTAATTATGATTGCCATTGTAACTTCCTAGCTTTTCCGAAAGTGAGATCGCAAGTCTATCCATCTCAGTCAGAACTGAAGCTTAAATGACATCCTAGTGTTTCATAGTAAGTCATTGGCAAAAGGCTGCAGAAGTTAAAACATCTCACTTCTCCAAGTGCTAATCAAAGGATTATGCTGCTAGAGTTTCAGGAAATAAATTCATAAAATTTGCAGTAGATAATTCATGGCAGTTTTGCTTTTATTCTAAATTAATAGCAGTAAAAGGAGTCTAGTTAAACTGCATGTCACACTTTTCCTCAAAAATCCTTCAGGTATTTTGTGACTAATGTTCAACTCTTGCCAAAGACTCTAAAGTCCCATAAAAACAAAGGCTGTAAACAGTTGTTGCTTCATCCTTTCCAGCCCTAAAAACAATAAAATACTTTTCCTGTCTCACCCTTTAAAGACTGCTTTAACAAGATTTAAGCTTTCATATATTCTGTTAATTATGAGAACACTAGTGATTCAGTGTATATAATTTTGAATCTACAAGTAGAATCTAGTGTTGTCTTGTAAGTGGAGCCCTGGGATATGAATTAATCAATTATGTGAAGTAGACACCTTTAAAATACAATTCCAAAAGTCCCTTAAGACAAAATATGATGTATAACCTCAATACAATTACCATTTTCTCCTGTGAAGATCTAGTTGTGTACGACAGTGTGATCTTAAAAGGTCTAATACTCTTTGAAATGCAGGTAAAATTGCCAAAATGAGCTTTGTAATTTAACTGTTTAAATTTAATTTCAGTTGGTTTTCTACTTTAAGTCAGTGTAGACTCTTGAAAATGTCACCTATACTCTTCTTCACTGTTGCTGCATCCTTTTATTGAGATTCACAATTTCATTAGATGTCACCGAGACTGATTTTGGTTGGAGTGTGGAGTCACAGCAGAGTTATTTTCTAAATTGGCACTAAGTACCTGCAGAAAATTTGGGACACATACTCCTAGAATAAAGAATAAAACCCCTAAAAAGCTATTACGTACAGCTGGTATTATTTCATAATTGTGAATAAAACTAAACTCTACTGAAGAGAGAGGAAGAGAGAATTAATTACTTTGAACTGTCAGGTTTAGGGCATGTAAGAAAACATCTTTTTCAGAAAAGAGTGTGTCTAATATTTTTAGAACCTGATAAACAAAGCAATTGTGTTTCTTATACTGACTAGTTTTTGTGGGATGTTTGAAAAGTATAAATGTGTTGCACGCTGAACAGCATTGTTTCATAGAAAAGAAAATTTTGGCAATTCCAGGAAGCAGAAGTCTCTGTATGTTCATCCTCACTAACAAATTACTACTTTAATCTGGTTGGAAAACAGTCTGAATTTGAATTATGGCTATGTTGAAAGAGAAAAGGACACCTAAGCAATGTTCTCTTTTACTTCAGACATCTGTATGGTGAATACTAAAATAATGCTTTGTCTCCAAAGAGTTTGGGCAAAAATCCAAGGCTCAGTATTTTTGCTAAACAGCAACACACACAAAAAAATTATTCCACTAGTAGTTTTTTTTATGAATTAATTACCAGGATCTCAGTATTGAAATTCTGTTTCCTGGCTGTCCCCTTCTCGATTCACGCAGTTGACAGTGGTTCAGTATTAGCATTTCTGCAAGAATGAGGTCGAACAGAACTTTTTTTGTTTAACACACATCCGTCTTGTCTATAATTTGCAGCTGAAGATGGAAACCAAATGTTTTTGGGATGCTACGTATGCCTGGAGGGTTTCTGAGCTGTCTTGTCTGCTCTTTTATTCTCCATCAAACTTTTGCTAAAAGGAGAACTTTAGCATTAACATTTTGTGTCATTTCTGATAGCTGAAAATAGTGCTCGAGTAGCTAACAGAAAAGGAGGGGGAAAGGATGAAATAAGCATCAGCTAATTAGTGGCATGGAAACAGTACTAGTACACAGCCCAGCCACGAAGTTTCTCTCTGACAGCCCTGTCTGACAGTGGAACACTTGAAAAGCTTCAAGAAAGTATTTTGTAAACCCTTTTTCCTAGCTCATTAACCACTAAATCATCTGTTCGCTTCTCTTCACCTTTTTCTAAGAGCAACATCACTAAACCATGTACTTCAACTATGATCCTTCAGCTCACTCACAAAAGCAAGACATGTTTAAGTTTTGTAGCATTTTAACTACTCTAAAGTATATGAATGGCAGTGTGAAAGGCATGTAAAATCAAAGAAATTTAAATAAAGGGAGGAGTATCACACCCACCTTGACAGTGGAGTGAAAGATAGAATGACAACATGAAAGCGAGTTAAAAGAGAGCCTACAGAACAAGAAAAGAGAGGTGAAAGTGGAAAGCTTCAGTTAAATCCAGGTATAAAACATCCTAAAATAACGTGGGGTAAAAAGGAGGCTTTATTTTGGACTATAGTGAATACTCCATGCTGAAATATGGCAGGGTCCCTGGTGCTGCCACTGGTGAAGATGTGCTTTTTACAACATCCCTGTTGTCAGTACAGAGGCGTGTGCCCGCTCGCAGAGTTACTGGCATAACTCATGTAGTTACCTGTTCTAGAGAAATGAGACACTTGCAGCTCCTTCCCACACTGCTACGTATAAAGGCAGTTGTATGTTGTACGTCATAAGGGAAATTTTGTATGTCCAATATTTAGAAGCTTATTTTACATGTTGGATTCTAGTATTAAAATTCTCTTGAGTGACTTCGTTATGTATACGGGCAAAGAGGGAAGATGCTGCTATCTTTGATAGAATAGTGTCTTTAAATGGAGTGAGGAAAGGCATGCTTGTAATTTAAAGATACCCACAGCTTCTGTCCTGGCTGTAATGCTAAAGAGGTGAAATAAAAGCAGTGCCCTGTTGCTGAAATTCACTCAGATTGTGATGGGGCATTGCTTGCTAGTGTCATGGTTCCGTCTGTGGGGTACTGGATGGTGTTTATGCCTCTGCATGTCTCCTGTTCTGTTTGTCACTAACTGTATCTATTTAAACTTGCATTATAACACTTTCAGTTACTTTGTTTTGACATGAATGGCCAAAATGGATTTAACTTTTGCAGAGATGTGTATTAACATGCTTCTGAGGCTTTATATGAATTTGAATAAAATAATTATAAATAGAAGAATTACCAGGGTCACTAGAAGTTTAAAATGGATAAAGGATTGCATGAGATGTGGAGAGAATGTAATAGGGAAGATCTGTTCATAGAGGATTTTGTAGAGAGTTTGCAGGTTGTCTTCTTTAAACTGAAATTTTACGAGACCAATTGATGTAATGAGGAGGGAGAGGAGATAGTCTGCAGGTCACCATTTATCAAAAGGGTTGTCCATTTTTTCTGTCATGCTCTACTAAGTTACTCACTCTCCCCTGTAAAACTTGCTTCTCATCTCCTTCCAGCTAGGACAGATCTTGAGAATTTGCTGTGGTTACATTTTGTTCCTTTCTGTAAATGATCATTAGAGACCTAAAGCAGACCACAGGTAAAAATATGAGGAGGGAATAAAGTCCTGTTAAGATCGTTCACCATAAAAGGACATTATTAGGCTGATGAAATCTGTCAGTTTTTCCATTAGGAAATGGGAGTGGAATGGGAAGTGTAAGGAAACATCCTCTGCAGTAGTCAACACGGCAGTAAACAACTCTAGTATGAAACAAACTTATTAATTCTTGCACAATAGTAGCACAGCTCAAACAGCTAGATAATTCCAGTTCCACCCCAAGCCCACTCTTCCTGACTTCTTAGGTTGTACATTTGGAGAAGGATTAATCTACTGCCCATTAATCTCCTTTTACCATGGGGAGGTCCTAGCCTGTCTGTCCCTTCACACAGCTTCTCTGTTTATTAAAACGAACCAGACAGACAAGTGCTTTTATCTTCTTCAAACGTGTCTTCCCCTAGCAGAGATTTTTTTTTTTTTTGAGTAAATATCTTATCTTTTGAGCTGTATAAACTTTCTCTTCTCAGAAATTCTCTTCTCCTTTTTTCTTTACACCATTGTCAATGCATGTTGCAATCCATATTTATAAGTTACTATACAGCTTGTACGTAAGATACCTAGCTCTTGCAATTTTTAACAGAGAAAAATAGCAGTCTTTTTTCTTTGTTTTGGAATGGGCCAGATTTTCATACAAGTGATGTTCAAAACAAAAATATGTAATCATTTATGTATTTTCTTAAAACTGAAGTGTGATCTGAGGACTCTGTAAGCTTCAATGCTGTCATAGTTTCAGAGGCATTGCAAAAGAGCCATTGTGCTAGAAGGGCAGGGAAAAAAACAACTTGAGACTGCTTTACAGCTTTATAATTCATAGGTTCCTCCCTGGGAGACAGTAGTTCATGTATGGATAGATGGTCTTCATAAAAGATACAAGAAAGAAGCCCATTAAAGCAGGAAAATAAATAGGTACCTCTGGGTTTATCCTCACAGTATAAATAGCTCATATAAGCCTGATGCCTTGAGTTCTCCTTATAGGATAAACAACTGCACATAAGTCCTGTATTTAGACTCCAGACATAGATTTTCTTTAATTGGAAAATAAATACTGTGTGTCAGAAAAATAGTTGACTTACATTTTGGCCACCCACATGGTGTACAGTTTGGCAGAAAAATTGCCCATTCAAGTCTGACCTGTTTTATAATACTGTAAATATCAGATTTAAGCTGGCTGAATCCATTAAAGTTGTATGTTGGAGATAGTAGTAACTCAAAAAAAAGGTTAAAATTTTCATCTTCCAAGGGAAATTTGTCACACTTACCTGTGTTTTTTTTCCTCACACAGCTGCTGTTACCTGGAGGTTTGTGTGCTAGATCAACAAGGGGCTGGGGGGTTACTACGGTAAAGGCAGTTTGCAGGATTTTCTGCACATGGTAGTATGAGTTATGGCACATGATGAGAGGAAGTATTGTGATTACAGGTAATCTAGTGATACAAGAACTATCTTTGGTTCTCTAATATCTTTCATGTTAAGAAGTCTATGAACCCTTCAGGGGTTTCTGTTAACTGCACTGTAACATGCTGAATGGGAACAGTGATACTTTCCAGCACAGATCTACAGCTCAATTCTCAGTTACTGACATTAAAGTGTAGATAGAATTTCACTTTACCTTATGTTAGAAGTTTGGGTATTTTGTTTTGGTTAAAATCTGCAGGAGTATAAGCAGCTGAAAAAAATAGCTTCAATTATTGGAAGATAAGTCAACGGTATCGGACTGTATTTATACCCAGAACTCTGTTGGGTTGACAGTGAAGACATGTCCTGCTAAGTTTTGTTTATAATGATCACAGCTTCTACAACAATGAAACATTAGTGGTGCAACTGAGATTTTCAGAATACTGGAGAATTTTAAAAGTGGTTAACACAGAATGAAAAGTATACAGCATGATATACAGCTAAGTAACCTCTTTTTCTACAGTGGCTCCTATTTTTTTCCCTTCATATATCTACATATTTATGTACATGCGTGCTTGTGTATGTATATACACATATAAATAAGATGGGTAGAGGAAATCTTGGGATGTAGTTTACTGTGCTCAATCCACACCATCTGATTTTTCAGCTACAATAAAGCATTACAGTACAGGTCCTGGAAATAGAGCCAGCCTGCATCAGCCACAAAGACCTTGTACAATGTCCAGTGACTTCCTAGTACTGCTCTGAATTCCTCATTTCTATTTCCATCATAATGCCTGAAACAGCAGGAAGTGTCCTTAGTGCAATCAAAGTGAAGTCTGGATCTGCTGGCCTGGAATGAGATTCCTTCACCCGTATAGCCCCAAAGTGAAAATTTAATGTTTCCTTAGTGTTGTGTCCTTTATTTCTTTTGGTGCCTGTTTTCAAGTAACCCATTTTCCAGGTATGAATGTCTGCCTCTAAGTGGTTCCAGGGACTATCCCTGCCCACCCCCTCCAGTTTAGTAGCTGTATTCTCCACATTGACTTTGTACAGTGGTGGTGTTCAGCCATATTTGTAGTCCCTTGACATTTGTGTTTGTATTCTCTTTCCATTGATGTTTAACAAAAGAACTGATATTACGGTATTTAAGGATTTGGATGGACAACTGATCCATTGGATAGTGGAAATACCTCTGAAGTGTTTTATGTAGAAAACCTTTTATGGTACAAGAGAATGCAGCTCTGACTGGCCGTTGCCTGAAAACACAGGTAACACAGTTGTGCACCTCTGCAGTTTTGCCCTCGGGCTGTAAAGGTGGCACTCTGGGTCAGGAGTGAAGTAGCAATAGAGAATGCAGAAGTCCAGCATTATGACACTAATGCTTTTGTACCAGTGTTTTCCTCTACGCAGATAGAATAAGGTCAGTTTAGGTAAAAGAAAATCTGAATCGCAGGAGAAGAATGCATGAGAGAGATTTGTAGACACAGAAAGCAAGCCAGACTTTTGCAGCCTTCTCTTACTTAATAAATTAATAAACAGCTGTTTGGCTTTTCAAATTTTCTCAGCAGTAAGTGTTGTTAATCAATTTTTAATGCAACAATTAAAAAGATAGGAAAACTGCTATCTAGCTTTCACCAGAATAATTGATTTCTGCAAGACTTAACTGTTTCACTTCAGTGTAAGAGTTGTGTGTAGATAACATGAATAGATCCAATGGAAGTCAGAGGAAAACAGTTATGTTCATTTTTAAGCCTTCCAAAATGTTAACTGGCAACCTAATGGTTCAAAAATGAGGCCACCATGTATTTTGGATTGTGGGCATTTATTCTGCCTGTGTATTTATGAGGAATGCAAATAAAAAACCATCTGAAATACTTGGCAACTAGGGCTGCAAATAATGCTTCCATAACTACAGTAAGAATAACCAAAATGAAGCAGTAATTATGGGTGTTTACACAACAAATCTGCTCAACTTTTCAGTTGACAAATACAAAGTCCAAAACCCAAGATTTCCCAAACTTGGTGTGATGTGACCTAGAATTGAGGCTGGTTTTACCAGAGCATCCAAAGCCATATTGCAGCACTGCTACACTGAGGGATCTGGTGGTAGATTATATGCTTGGGGTGGGCAGAGAGAGGGAGGTTTGTATTATCTAACCATAGGTGTTTAGTGCAAGTGTCAAAATGAGGAGGCTACTGTCTGGTTTTAGTTTACTTGGCCTATTGCTGAAGATGACGTTGATGGTCTCACGGATGTTTTCTCTTAGTCAGTAGCTTAGATCACCTGTTCTCATGTTTGTAAAAACATAATGTGCTCATAGACAACTGCAAAATTTGTCCATCTCCTTAAGATACACCCAGAAAGGATTTAATACATTTTTAAGCTCCGTGGGAGGACCGGGTGCATTTCCCTCTTCCTGTGTTCATCCGGGGTGCATTTCCCTCTTCCTGTGCTCATTCACATGCCTGTAGCATTGTGTGTGCAGATGCACTACAGGTGACATATCTGCTGATAGCAAAGAATGGTTTTGATATACTCTGCTTCTGTTTTGTTAGGTAACTGCATTCTGTGATGTTGATGAAAAGAAAATAACAAAAGGATTCTATACTTATGAAGAATCTGAGGTTAGTTATAAGTAAATTAGTTATAGCATTCTTTACTGTGATCTGGAACTGTACTGGGAAATGGAATGCAAGAATACATCACTGATTTTAAATATTGTATAGATATTGGTAAGGAGGTTGTGGCAGAAGATGAGGTAGCTGGGGATTGATACTGGAGTGTGAACTATGGAGCCAGAACTATGGACCTCACACTCACTGGAAAGACAAAAATATATATACTCTGAAAGGATTCTGATGATGGGGTAAAACATAGCCTACACTGGCAGATTTTTCTTAAGTGGGAGCAGAGTTTGGCTCATGATGGATAAAAGTCAAACTTCTATTAAAATAAACCTTTTGTGATTAATTGTAACCTGTGTATTATAGTTATACTGTATTTGAATAAAACTGAGATAGGTTACTTGGAAGCCCAAAATTGTAAGCAACAGCATTTACTCCCCAGACAAGGAAGCATGATATTTAGATGGCAATAAACAAACCATAGAGGAAAAAAAAAATGTTGACGTGTTCTAGTATTAATTTCATGGTAGCAGTTATCTGAAGACCTGGAGTAAAGTTTCATCCAGATTCAGTCCCTACAACAGTTGGTGCAAAGACAGTTCTTGGTTTCACTGGGCATTGGATGGGATCCTGTGAGCACAGTCTGTGGAGAGTGCGATGTGACATTGCAGCTTCACCAGTCCCACTGCCGGGGTGGTCTGACTGCGCTCACTGGCCCCAGCCACACACTCCCACTGCTTTGTTTACAGTGGGTCTGGCAATCTTGTGGCTAAAGGATGACTCGATTCAGTTAGTTGACCTGGCAGAAAACGAACCCTCCAAATGAAAAGTTTTATTTTAAACAGCACGTTTATCTTGTGAATCAAATTACCCTGAGGTTACACGATCCTTATATCTGATGGGAGTAGGACTGAGTGGGGGTAGAAGGAGAGGAGGGGCAACTCCACAGATACAGCTTGTGGTTAGACTAGAGTGTCTGTAAAATCAAATTCTGTACTGGGAAGCTAATGAGTGCTTTCAGCTGCATGAAAGCAATTGGAGTTCAGGATTTTGACCTGGAATACTGAGGACTCGCTAACTACCAGTGCAGTAACACTGTCAGCATAATTGTTACAGATACTGTACATTTGTCTTCTTAAGACATTCCCATCCTCTCAGATCAGTCATAAAGATGATTGTACTGCAACCTGTTGTGAATCCTTAGAAAATTCTGCAGCTTGGGTCCATACTGAAGTCCCAGTTGGGCAAAAGCCATTTAACAGCTCCCACTGAGAGG